TTTTGCAAATATCTCAGCAACGTTGTGGTTGTATTCTTTAACAGGTATGCCTTTTCAAGGATCTCATGTCGCCGATTTCCCTCATAGAAGGCTTACATGACAGTTAGTGGCTAGAAACGTGAAATTTCCCCATTAGGCGGATAAGAGCTTTATCATGGACCAAAAGCAGCATTTGTTTTTCTGAGACGTAGGATGATCAAAGTGATGGTCACCCTGTTTCTGCTAGGCAGATTCGACGTATACCTTCTATATTTACTTATATTTATTATCTATATAGGGTATATTCCTTCATGCGTGCGTGGGTGTCTGCACATTTATGTGGATTGTATTCTTTCTTTGATGAGCTTATACGAGGTTGATAATGATGTTTATTTTCGGCTAACGTTTCAACGTCTTCGTCTTCCGTCTTCTATGTGGATAAGTTCAGAGAGGCTGGGAAAAACTCAGGCTCATTCTAGGCAGCTTAAATCACAAAGAACAAATATGAAGATATGTTCCTACAATGCACGTACACTTGTATATGAGTCCTCAATAGAAGAATTGATCATGCAGGCAAGAATGATAAGGTACGACGTCATCGGATAGGGCTACCTGAGATGAGAAGACGCCAACCAGTCTATGACACCAGAGAAAAACTCTTCCTCGGAACAAAGGACCCGCATTGTGTGGTGGTGAACGCGTTACTCCCCGGAAAGGACAATAGCGCGTTCGTTCCCCACCATAGACACCTGCGGTCCAGAGTCTTGCAAGTATCTCAGCAACGTTGTGGTTTTTTCCTCGGAACACGTGACAGTGGAGGAGGCAGTGGCTTCAGTATTTCGCCAACACGAGCTTGCTATGAACTATCTTCAGCTAATCATTCGAACAACTAACAACCCGAATCGGTCGTCTACGGTTGAGGGGAGGTGGACCAATGCCAGCCTTGATAATCGTAGTCCCTCGTGCACCAACATCACCCTATGGTGAAGAAAAAATCGATGCGATCAGTGTGGAAGTTCAACAGAGAAGGCTAAACATTTTTAAGAACGTTAATTGAGATCTTAGCGCTAAGATTGGACCCAGGAAAACGTCTGAAGAACGGTACAATGGAACCCACGGATTTGAATGAAATGGCCAAGATGAGCGGTTGAAAGAGTGTATCATGATAGACTCGCAATTACAGAAGCCTCATCCTCAACATTGGACGTGGAAGTCTCCCAATGGAGAGTGCCATAAAGAGATAGACTCACGTCATAGTAAATCGAAGGTTCTTCCTAGGCGATGCCGATGTTTTTCCAGAATTTTAAGCGAGATCAGAGCATCGCCTTCTTCGTGTAAGATTTCATTTCTCAAGGAATGAAGGAAAAGCCACTACATTTAAAAACGAAGTCCCAGATCATCATAAATTCGGATTTATCGAATTCATTAGTCGGCTGTTAGGAAGCTGTTGTTCTGAGCAATATCGACAAGGAATACGATCAGCTCATTCAAAATCTTCACGTTGGCGCTGCGAAAAGTAAGAGCTCGAAAGTCACCAAGAGATGTCTGCCTCTAGAAGCACTCGAGCTGATACGCCTTGATGGAACCGCTGGAGCATCGTCAGTTACAATACCCAGACAATCGCACTTCGACACCCAGGTGGAACAGCTATAGCTTTCTTGAAGGTAATGTAGAAAATCAGTCACATTTATTACACGGATCACTTCCACTTCCTCCTGCCTTCATACGAAATAAAGAAGGTTGGATATGTCGTCCCACTTGTCCTTCCTCTCGAAATTCGATATGCTATTCCGTCGGTGAGGAATCGAACAACATCAGATCCTTACAGGATAAGATTTGAACAGAACCTACAAGAAGTCTTCAAAAGGGTACTAGACAGGCTGTTCACACGCTACCTGTCAGAATTCAAGGTTGGTATTCAATAAAAAACCAGCAAGACTTTGTTGCTGTTCAAGGTGGGTGACCTCCACGATATCGGCATCTATCGCCCAACCTGCTTACTGTCTGTCGTCAACAAGCTCTTTACTCGAGTCATCTTAAAGGAGGCTGGAAGAAAACTGGATGGGCTACACTCATTGGAACAAGCCGGGTTTAGAATAGAATTTAGTACGGTGAACTGTATCCATACAAAAACAAAATTCATTAAACCACGGTGAGAGTTCAAAACACCGCTCTCCCTTGCTTTCACTGATTTAAGGAATGCCTCCGACTCAGTTGAGACAAGCACTCTTGGAAGCCTTGCGCAGCCAGAGCGTTCCTACTTTGCGTATAAAGAATCTTCGTGAGCTATACAGAAATTTCACACCTAAAACCTCACCATTCTATAGTGGTATGAACATCGATACAAAAGAGGGGTTCGACAAGGCGATACAATCTCGCCCGAAAGTACTTACTGCCACCTTGAAGAAAGTCATATGCATATTAGAATGGAATAACATGAGAGTGAAAAATCGGTGGTCGACAATTACACCATCTTTGCATTGAGTGAAAAATCGGTGGTCGACAATTACACCATCTTTGCATTGCTGATGACACCGCTCTTACAACGCCAAACATTAGGTAAGCAGAACGAATGCTTGCTGATCCTGACAAGACCCGTAGAAAATTGGCCTTCATCTAAATCTCACAAAAAAGACGTCGATGAGGAAAGGATTGGTTACGTATGCCCTATTCACATTCAGTGGTCAATTCAACATGTCCAAATGCTCAGAAGACTTCTGTCTAGGCCGAGAAATCCACGTGTTGAACGACTTGCAAGAGCAGAAGGATGCGAGCGTCATGAGGAGCTCTCGAGAACATCGATCACGCAGTGAAGACGGCAAAGGACACCCGACTCTGTGCCCACTATTTCGACTCCACGATTATTCTGGCCTCAACGTATGCGTCTGACACCTGGGCGCTAAATAAGCACAGTGAAGAAACCCTCGGCGTTATAGAAAGCACAAGCGAAAGAACTAAAACAAAAGAATTCCGTATCATGCAAGCCAGCAAGGGTATCGGAAGCTCCGACCTAGTCGATAATAAAAAGTCAAAGATGCCTTTCTATACGCCAAAGTGTCGAAATTAAGGTGGACCAGTCACTTAGTGCGCTTGATCGACATCCGAAGGCCAAGAGCAGTTAGACACTGGATTCCTTGTGATATCAAACGCACTGCATGAAGACAATCGACCCGATGGTTATAGTTTTAGACGAATCTCCTAGCGGATAGGTAAGGTGTTTAAGGTGTTTTTAGAGCGAACAAAACACCTGGACTACTCTTGCACGCAGCAGCGAGAAGTGCAGATTTCGCTGGTTCCCGCGCGAGCCACTTGATGATCAACCAGGTGACAGGTGACAGGTGATACATGTGCCTTTCTCATCCTAATCGAGTGACTTTGTTATCCACTGCATGTGGCAGTAAGCAAGTTCGGCGATATTGTGTCACCTTGTTGAACTCTTCTTTTAATGGATATGGTAAAGATTCTATGGAAAAGCTGTATTTTCACAGCGCATTTGCGGTAACAATCGGGCATAGTTCTTACATAGGACGGGGCCACTTCTTGGTCGATGAACGCTTATAGGGAGGTTTTCGTTTCGACTCTGAGAAATCCTTTGTCATAGTTGACAATAGTCAGGAATGGTTGTTCCTCACCCAATATCCTTGATAATGGCGGCAGAATAATCATTATGAAGAGTTTTTAGAACCCACTCAACGAATATATCGAGCTATAGCAGCAAGATCCTTTCGGCTTCCCTTTTTGGGAAGGATAGCTGTGCGCGAAGTCCTCCACTGGCCTGTAACTTTTTTCGAGGGTAAGATGTCATATGGGAGCAAAAAGTTCGTGCAGATTGTGGTTTCCAGCTCAAAGGAAGTTGGCAATGATATCATGAAGTCGTGCATTTTTCATGCCCTCCATCGCTACTAAAACATTAAAGGGAAAATTTTCAGATGGGTTTACTCAATTGAGATTTTCAGGGCTCCTGTCGAGGATTGTAGGACGGAAAAGGTTGCTCCGAAGTTTTTCTGTTATCCATTCCATTTCATAGCATCACGTTCCCTAAGTTAATCACCTAATTGCAAAAAATACTTTGCCATTGCTAGTGTTCTGCTCTTGCTTTTACCACAGTTCTACGTGCTGGTAGCTTCAGTTGTTTCTAGTGTAGTTGCCTTCGTATTCACTTGATAAAACTTGCAGTTCGAGAGTTTGTCATATGGTGATGCATAGCAGGGAGCAGATGAAGACGTTTGTAGCACTCAGTTCCTTACGTATTCAGATTATTAAATAAACCGCTATTGGATATTGTGACAACTGTAGGATTTCTTTCATCAGATTCTTTGTTTCACAACAACAGCGCATGAACATTTTTGGTGGCGAATACAAAATGACATACACTGATACTTTCTAAACGACCAATATTGAGGCACTGCTTCCAAGTGCTGAAACATTTCCATGCAGCGCAGCGGTTAGAAGAACGCTCGAATGCATGGCTGGTTCTTATAATAGTTCGATTCTGAGAATAATCAAAACTATTTGGCAGGGTTTCTTTAAATTTTTAGCAACCTTGTATATGTGGGCAAAAGCACTAGCATGATACATTTAGAAGCTATTGAAAGTCATTGTAAAAGTAAATTATACATTTAGTCACCTCTACGACGGCTGATGGAGTGTGTTGCTCATGGGGCATCATTATAAAATGGACCAGCAAAGCTAAACGCTTGATCACTCGAATACTTATGAGAAGTATGAAAATTTTCTTTTGAGCTTTAATGGGTAAAATTATGCACCTCATTTTTCTTTCTTCACTTCTTTTCTAAGCTTTATTTCAACTCTTACGAAGACGATGCACCACTTTCCGTTTCGAACACAATTTTAGTGTGACACATAAACAATGACAGGTTCCACGTTTATCGAAAATCGCCTCTATGCGGCTCTATTCATCGTTCTAATATCTTCGCTTCGCTAAGCAGAAAGTTATATCACTTGAAACTTGTTCTAAAAAGTGAAAAATTGGTAACTGTATAGCATAGCACTGTAATGGTTTAGTATTCCTCCCAAAACGGGAAATAAGGATGGTCCGATTCACGATCAGTGTGGTCGACGATTCGCAATCCATGGTCGAGCCCGTCGATCTCCTTCATTTCGGGTTCGGTCAGCTGGAAATCGAACAACGCTGCGTTTTCTTTGATTCGCTCTAGAAGATTTCGCTTTACATTAGCTAAATTCCGACTAAATGATTAATAAAACTTCCTAAAAATCTAACGACCAGTTTAAAAAGTTGAAGGTTACTAACAACTCAAATCTGCTATATATGGACATTGTTGGATTTCTACGAGTTTCTAAATCCATCGACGGTGAACTGCTTTGCTAATGAGGTTTAATCTGATTTAAGGCAGCTTGCAAATTTAAAACTTAAAAGCTTAACGAGGAAATGAAACTGTCGACTTTATTTGTGAAACAATCACAATGACGCTGAGACATTTGCAAAAGTCCGGACCGCAGGTGTCTGCGGTGGGGAACGAACGCGTTATTACACTTTCAAGGGGATAACGCGTCCACCACCACACCATGTGGGTCCTTCGTTTCGCCTGTCTCTCAGCTATTTCTATCGAGCAGTACCATCAGCAATCACGCGTCAACGGGGTTGACCTGAGGAGCCCACACTGACATTGAACCTAAGTTTAAGTTAGACATAATAGCCTACCGTGAAAAACTGTAGTAGGAAGTAAATAAAGGTTAACATTGTGATTTCGACTACAGCCTTAGCTTAACTGGGTTCGTTGCCGATTTGGGCTCGCTAGATCAATCCCGTTGAGGATAACTTCTTTTGGCTTCGATCGATAGAACTAGCTGAGAGACAAGCCAAACGAAGGACCCGCATGATGTGGTGGTGAACGCGTTAGCCCTCGGAAAGGGTAATATCGCGTTCGTTTCCCACCGGAGATACCTGCGGTCCGGAATTTTGCAAATATCTCAGCATCGATGTGGTTGTTAGAAGAGCGTTCCTTTTAATAACTCGAAAGAACGACTTTCTATAAACCTCGGCGTAGATAGTTGATATATTTATGTGATCTTATAAACTGATCTTCCTAAGCTGACGCGAGGTTGGTACAAGTCTTCACTGTCGTTGTCGTTGTTTTTGATGTTATTGATCAACGGCTGACGTTTCGGCGACCTCGCCTTCCTCAGAGCCGTGATGTTACGTGCGGGATTGGCCCACGCGTTGTTTTCGCGTCGACAAAACAACGACAACGACAACGAAGACCTGTACCAACCTCGCGTCAGCTTAGGAAGATCAGTTTATAAGATCACATAAATAAATGTTTCTTTTTGTGGCAGTGGGAAAAGGGCGCGTGTGACGCACTGGTCGGAGACGCCCTGCTGCGCGCACGTGGAATCGATCGCTGAGTCCATAGCCAACTAAGCCTTCTGTCCCTTCTGTTTCCGCAAATTGCTATCGGACTTGTTTGGGAGGATAGCAGCACTGACAAGGTACATCATTAGGTCTTGTGAGTCATTGTAAAGGCCAGATATGCATTCAATGACCACCAAACGATGCTTCATGAAGTCGAATGCACGGCCTCTCCCTCAGGGATTGATCAACGCCAAGAGCTTTATCCTTTTAACCTTTATAAGTGGAACTGCCAAATCATTCCGCGCAACCGACAGATCTCCTTTCCGCATGATCAATATGTGGTCATTTCGTCCTCAATGTTCCCGTTAACAAAAAATACCTAACGGTTATTGCAAAAAATAAGAAGCTAATAGGTTTTCTCACTTTCTGACGTTGATTTTGGAATGACAATTATACCCTGCTGCACGTCCCAACGAAGAACAACCTGCGCTGGTGTCTGTAAATCATTAGTGGTGGTTAGAGGTTTCACATATCGATGTTCGACAAACTTAAACAGGTCTTCGTGCTTCGATAACTCTCACTTTGTAATCCACTATAATTGAAACTTATCAAGTACATCTATCTTCCTTCTCAAAATCTCTCCTGCTGTAGCTTGTGGAAACTCCTCGACAAAGAAAGTTGTAAAGGAAACAAAGTATGCATAAATACGTACCTTTCCGTGTGCGGCAGCGATTTTCGTCACAATGGGGTCGGTTAGAATGTTAGGATCACCAGGTTTACGGTAAAATGCTGAGCCAGGATTCCCAAGTGGACTAAATATGTTTAATTAAAAATTATTCTGTACTAGCCGGTGAAGATCCTCTCAAGGTACTTTTTTAGTTCCCAGGATAGACTTTCTCTTAACCTCGACATTGGAATATGAACGTGTCGTTTTCTTGTTCAGCAATCGCGAGGTTTTTAAACAGCATGCATTTACTTCCATAAAAACACAATACAATACAACGCTAGCTGACGTTTCGGCAGTATCGCCTTCTTCAGAGCCTGGAAGGGTATGCTGATATACAATCTACTAGGCCAAACGCTTCAATAACACTTACAAAAAGACGAAGAACTCTATGGTAATTACATGATCAACAGCTTCTTGAACAACTCACTGCTTTCTACGTAACTTCCAATGAGGAAGTTTAGAACAGCTGATTATAGTCGCATGTGGTTGATGACTGCACCATCCTACATCAGAAATCGATGCGAACGTACTGGATCAGATCGCGTATGACCTCCGGGCATTCATCCCTGTTATTCATTGTGGGGTTTTTGGCATTTATCCAAAAAGCCTCTAGGAGTTTTCGCGCTGGTGTTTTGGACTCCTGTGCAAGGATATTGACTTTTACTTCAAAATCGTCTCCGCTATGCTTTTGTATCCTATGCGTGCCTAGTGGGGTGCTTCGTCTTAGTCTTCGTTTGCCATCTAGGTGTTCTTTTATACGGATACACAAAGGTCTGCCCGTTTCGCCAATATATTCATCTCCGCAATTGTTACACGAGATCAGGTATATCGTACCTGAACTCATGCAATC